AGGGAAGGTCAGGGCTCACACCAGAGAGGGAGCTGGCAGGCCGGCCCAACCACCACCTCACATGCTGCCTCGGAGATGACCCCACCCACTGGCCTGGAGGCACAGCCAGAACCAATCAGAACCAATCAGGGGGTAGATTTGGTCAGGGGCAGGGGCCTGGGTTGGGGCTCCATCCCCAGTGGGGGCGTGCAGGAGGCAGCTGACCCATGGTTCTCTCTCATCCCTGATGTTTGTCTCTCTCCCTCTCCCTTCCTCTCTGAAATCAATAGAAACATTTAAAAACCAGAAGAGCAGATGCACAGGAACCTGCCTCCTGAGCGGCTGATGCCACGGCAGGCGAAATGGCTCCTGAGCGCTCCTCTCGGAGGCCGGGTTCCCCCGGGAAGCCACTGCTCACAGGACACCGTGTCGCCACCGTGAGCTCGAGGCTGACTTCCGACAGGCCTCTCCCGGCGCTTCTGAGCCGGTATGCTCCCCCTGGTCTGAGTCGAGTGAGCCAGCATCTCAGCCGGCCACCTTTCCCGAGTGCCCGCCAGGGAGAGGGGCCCAGAGGCTGCGAAGGCAGGAGGGGCCTCCGGTCACTCGCAGTTGGGGGGGAGGGGGGTGCCACAGAGCAGCACAGACACGTCACAGGAAGAGGGTGAAAAGTGAGGGGTTCGGACAAGGGAAAGAACCGTAGGCGTGCGACAGAGCAGGTGGAGAAGTGGCCAAAGTCTGGGAAAGCCGTGGAATTTTAGGTGCGTTTTCTGGTTTTCAAAGTGAGGAAAAGGCCGAGGTTCACCGATGGGCTCCAGAGAACACAGCTGGCGTGTCTGAAGGAACACAGGGCAGAGTGGAGAGAAAACTACTCCCAAGCCCATTTTCTTTCTTTCTTTGAAATATATTTTTTATTGAGAGGAAGGGAGAGGGACAGAAACATCGATCAGAGAGAATCAGGGACCCTGCACGCCCCCCACTGGGGATGCAGCCTGCCACCAGGGACTGTGCCCTGACCGGGAATCGAACCCTGACCTCCTGGTTCCTAGGTCGATGCTCAGCCCTGAGCCACCTGGGCCACCGGGCCCCCTGCGGGCACCGGCCTCCTGAGGGTCACCGTTTCTCTTCCTTCGGCCACTGCTTCTGTAAGCACAGCTGAGGAGGATGGCGCTGGTCCTCACTCCTGCAGACGCGCAGGGCGCCCGGCGGCCCTTCGCACGGCACCCGTCGCAGGGGCTCCCAGGCGACTTTTGCCCCCGATCTTGGGGTCACGGAGGCCCCCGCCTCCATCCGCGCCAGCCCCGCCCGCGTCCTCCGACCGAGTCCACCACGGAGCGCGGGCCCCGCCCCGGGGCTCCGGCCGGGCTCCCCCGGGAAGAGCGGACAGAAGTGCCCCGAGGCCCGGAGCCCCCGGGCCGTCTCACATCACGGAGGCTCCCCGGGCGGGTCCGGCGTGGACGGCGCCCCGGCGGCCCGGCCCGAAGTCAGGCCGCGGCTCCCACGAGGCCGCGGTGCCGCCCGGCGCGGAGGCGGAGGCCGGGCCGGCCGCGGGCCTCCCTCGCGGGGCCTGAGGAGGGGACGGCGCGCAGGGGCGTCACGCGCGGGCCGGCGGCGGAGACGCGGAAGGAGCGGGAGGGAGAGCGGCGCTCACCTTCTTCACGGCCGCCTGGAAGAGGAAGTCGCCGGCCTCCTTCAGGTCCAGCCAGATCATGGGCATGCGGGGCACGGCCTCCATGGCGGACGGAGCCCCGCGCCACCGGCCGCTCCCCTCGGCCCTCCAGCTGCTGGCTCAGCCGCGCGCACTGCCCCGCCCCTCCGCGCCGGAAGACGGGCGTCACGCGGCGGAAGAACAGCCCGCACGGCCTTCTGGGAGATGTAGTCCCCGCCCGGCCCGCGCAGCCTTGCGCACATGCGCAGTTCAGTCTCTTCCGAGAAGAGGGCGAGGAGGCTTGCGAATCTCCGGCCGACGCGAAAGGGCTTCTGGGATAGCAGTCTTCCTCCCTTAGATGCTCGGAGGGCGCAGGCTGGTTTCTTCTGGGCCATCAGAGCCGCATGCGGGACCTCGGCCTAGCCGCCGGCACCGGAGCCTGCCGGTAGCGGGTGGGGGACCATAGGTAGCATAGCTGAGCGAGGAAAGGCGAGATTTGGGACGTGGGGCCCGGGAAGCAGTTTGGCCACGGGACACAGAGCCCAGGCCCGAGCTTGAGGTCAGCAAGAGACGGGAATTACGCAGTTGCTGGTCAGTGTGGACTGGAGCCGTCAGGAAGGAAGGGGCGGGGAGGAGGAGGAGGCCCTCCTTGATCTGGCAACCTGGGAGGACCCATAGAGGCAGGCGGTCCAGGTGGGGTGGGCGGAGACCCTGGCCTGTCTCCGGATGGGAGGAGCCTGGATGGTCCCACCTCCTGAGCTTGTTGGGGCAGCTGTCCTTTCCCTTTTATAGAATGGGACCCCTCAGACCTCCCGGCGCTCCTGGGGGGGACTGCACAGACACATACCTGTGAGGACCCTGGACGCTAAGGGCTAGGGCTGCCATAGCAATGCGTCACCGGCTGCCCGGCCGGCTTAAGCAGCAGAAAATACTTTCCTCGCCCTTCTGGAGGCCACACGCCGGAGGTCAAGGTGTCACAAGCTGGGCTGCCGAGGCCCGGCTCTGTGGTTGGTAGGGGAACATCTGCCTGCGTCGTCACATGGCGTTCCTTCTCGGCATGTCTGTGTCCCGATAATCTCCCTGTGAGGACACCAGTGAGACCTGTTCACATAGGCACCTCTCTAAGGGTGTCTCAGGTGACGCAGACATGCACCCAAGTCTCTGGTTGGTCACTTCCCTCCCTGCCTTCCCTCTGAGCTTCCTCAGTCTGTCCATGCTTCCATGTCTCCTGACCCCCTCGTTCATCCGTTTATTTAGTTCATGAGATTCCACCTATGAGTGAGAGCATGTCTCTCTGACTGGCTTATTCACTTAGGGCACATGTGTCAAACACAAGGCCCGCGGGCCAAATCCGTCCCGCCAGGCCTTGCAATGTGGCCCGCACCGCGCTGTCATCACTGCACTCCGCTGCGTTTCCATCACAATGACAGTTTATGACTGTTCAGTAAACCATTCGGCCCGCGATTTAGGCTGGATTTTAGATATTGGCCCCTTCTCTGATTGAGTTCGACACCCCTAACTTAGGGTAATGCTCTCCAGGCCACAGACAATAGGGTGGTGAAGGCCTGGGACCGGGGCGGGCTAAAAGGGGTGGGGGTGGGGGATTACCCAATATTTTCAACAATAAAGAATTTTTTTTTAAAGAGTATCCACACAGAGTCCCATTCTGAGGTCCTGGGGCTGGGACTTCACAGGAATTTGGGAGAGGTGGGGAGGGGCCACGTCACAGGGTCCGAGTCACCTGGTGTGAGAGGCCCTGTGGGGAGGGCCTGGCGTGCAGAGGGGAAGGGGTGGGGATGGGCCGGGGAGGGAACACAGCGGGGAGTCCCGTAAGGTGTTTCCTCCCCGAGGCCAGGGCTGGGAGTTTGGGGAAACAGACTTGGGAGTAATGGGGAGGCGTACACCCGTCACCAGGGGGCAGCAAACACCCATTCAGCCAAATCAGTTCTCCTCTCCATCACCCCCCACCCTCGGCGGAGGGAGCGGGGCGGCCTGGCAGATGCCGGGGTGGGGCACCTGTGTCCACACTGCCGGGGTTACAGCCCGTGTGTGTCCCCACAGGCGATGGGGCCACAGGGCTGAGGCAAGCTGAGGCCCCGCCAGGCCGGAGCCTGCCCAAGGGCCGCTGCTTCCCTCTGCACAGCTGCCGCCTGGGGAGCGCTTTCTGCTTCCACCTGCTCTCGGAGGCGCGGGAGCCTGGGACGCAGCAGGCCCACCGGCGAAGCCTGTGGCCAGACGCTCCCCTGAGGGCAGCCCACGTCCTGCTGCCTGCACCCTCCAGTGCCCTCCAGACCCTCACCTTTCCCCTGCCCCAATCTCGGCCCCAGGGCGGTCACATGCAGGGCGGGGCTGGGGGACCCTCCTCTGGGACCCGGGAATCCTGCCCTCCCCTCCTAGGCTCCAGGCCGGCTCCCAAGACTCCCCTCAGTAGGTGGGGGCCAGCCAGCCCCACAGCCCCCACCGTGGAGGGCGGAGCGGAAGGGGCACCGCCCTCGCTGGTAGACCAGCTCCTCCCAGCACCTTCCCTTGCCAGGTCTGTGCCTGAGCTCAGTTCTTTTAAAAAGTATATATTTATTCGCCGGGACCGGTTTGGCTCAATGGATAGAGCATCAGCTTGGGGACTGAAAGGTCCCGGGTTCGATTCCGGTCAAGGACATGGACCTTGGTTGCGGGCACATCCCCAGTAGGGGGTGTGCAGGAGCCAGCTGATTGATGTTTCTCTCTCATTGATGTTTCTGACTCTCTATCTCTCTTCCGTCCTCTCTGTAAAAAAAAATCAGCTGAAACCGGTTTGGCTCAATGGATAGAGCATCAGCTTGGGGACTGAAAGGTCCCGGGTTCGATTCCGGTCAAGGGCATGTACCTTGGTTGCGGGCACATCCCCAGTAGGGGGTGTGCAAGAGGCAGCTGATTGATGATTCTCTCTCATTGATGTTTCTGACTCTCTATCTCTCTTCCGTCCTCTCTGTAAAAAAAAATCAGCTGAAACCGGTTTGGCTCAATGGATAGAGCATCTGCTTGGGGACTGAAAGGTCCCAGGTTCGATTCCGGTCAAGGGCATATACCTTGGTTGCAGGCATATCCCCGGTAGGGGGTGTGCAAGAGGCAGCTGATTGATGACTCTTTCATCGATGTTTCTAACTCTCTCTCTCTCTCTCTCCCTTCCTCTCTGTACAAAATCAATAAAATATATATTTAAAAAAAAAAAAGAAAAGAAAAATTCCTTTTAAAAAAATCGATAAAATATATACATTTTTTAAAAGCATACTGCCCATCCCAGCAGCTAGGAGTCCTGACCCCAGCCTCCCAGCGGCGTCCGGGGAGCAGCAGGAGGAGGGGGAGGACAGTGAGGTCTTCCTGGGCTGCTGCTGCTGTCATGGCCATGAGGGACGGACGGTGAGCCACGGATGGTCAGATCGTAGGGCTTTTTCAAAGTCAGGGCCAGGTTTTAGAGGCTGACCCCGCTTGTAAAACGTAACGTCGTGGATGTCACCCTGGGCCCAGCCCCAGAGGAGACCATCTCTGTGTGCACGTGGCCGAGGAGCTGCCGCACACGGAATTGTGTTCCGGAAGGTTCTGGGATCAAACCAGAACAGCCAGGCAGGCGGAGACGGCCCCCGGTCGCCCGGGAGGGGACACGGAGGCCCGGAGGGAAGGGGCTGGCCCCAAATCAGCCTGGTCTCCTGCCCCCGGCTCGGGGTTCTCCCCCACTCTGAGGCCCGGACCCGTTGCCCAAACCTGCTTGCTTCTTAGCCAACGGCATTTCAGAACGTTGGCCAACCGTGGTGCCCGGCACAGGAAGGGAGCGGCCGGTGTCACCGGCAGCGCCTTAAAGGGCGGCGGCCAGCGGCGGGCCGCGGAGGGCCATGGCGGGGGCCTGGAGGGCACTGGTGCTGGTGGCGGGCGCGGCGGTGGCCTGTGTGGCCCAGCGCCAGCCGGGCTTCGAGGAGAGGCTCGTCGACCAGGCCCTGCAGCTCTTCAACGCCGGGAGGCGGGGCCAGCCCCTGTTCCGCCTGCAGGAAGTCCTGAGTGCCTCGGCCCCAGCCCGGGGCCGGACACCTGCCTTGTGGCCGCCCGGGGGGGCCCACAGGCCGGTTAACAGAGCGGCTGTTAGGGAAGCCGTGTCTGCACCGGAGCTATGGGACAGCGGGCTGGCCGGCAGGGCTGGGCCTCGCCGGGCAGGAGCCGGCCTGCTGGAAGGCGCGCAGGAGGAAAAGGCCTGGTCTCCCCCGGCCTCGCAGGGGCTTCCCGTCCCTCCCGCCCGTGGCCTCTCTGGCAGGCAGCTGAGCATGCAGGGCCGGCATTCGCTCTTTAACTCCTCTTTGTTGTTTAAAGGATCACACAGTGTTACACAGGTCTCCTTTCCCCTGACACACACACACACACACACACACCCCCGCTGGTGTTCTTCTGCTGGTTTTCTTGTCCATCCTCACCTGAGGATATTTCCCCACTGCCTTTTCTGGGAGGGAGCGAGGGAGGGAAATGTCGACGCCAGAGAGCCACGCCCACTGGTTGTGTCCTGCACGCTCTAACCACTGAGCACGCCGCGGAGGCAGGCGGGTATTCCTGTTCCTGTTCCAGCTCCGCAGTGGCCGCTGGGGCCGGCCTCCGAGAGCCCCGTCCGCTGCTGAGGAGGCCGGCCGGGCCTGGCTCAGGCCTCCCCCGCAGCTGTGCCCGCGCCGGCTCGTCGGGGGAGGGCTGCCGGGAGCTGCTCTGGCCTCTGCAGAACTCCACCTTCCAGACGCCGGTGAGCTTCCGGGCCCGGGAGACCGTGTGCCTCGCCGGGCGGCCGGAGCCCCAGCGATGCGCCTTCAGGGACGGCGGGGTGAGTCTCCCGGCCCCACAGGAGCGGGTCCTCTCCTCTCCCTCCTCTCCGCCGGCCGGGGGTGTGTGTGTGTGTGTGTGTGTGTCTGTGTGTGTGTGTGTGTGTGTGTGTGTCTCTGTGTGTGTGTGTGTGTCTCTGTGTGTCTGTGTGTCTGTGTGTGTCTCTGTGTATGTGTGTGTATGTGTGTATGTGTGTGTCTGTGTCTGTGTGTGTCTCTGTGTGTCTTTGTGTGTGTGTCTGTGTGTGTGTCTCTGTGTATGTGTCTGTGTGTGTGTGTGTGTCTCTGTGTGTGTCTCTGTGTATGTGTCTGTGTGTGTGTCTCTGTGTGTGTGTGTGTGTGTGTGTGTCTCTGTGTGTGTGTGTGTCTGTGTGTCTGTGTGTGTGTCTCCGCCCACCTCCCCGGCCCTGCCAGGTTTCCCTGTAGGAGCCTTTTTCCTATCCCTTTTGTGTTTTCTTTCTATAAATCACTCAGTCCTCATTATAAAAGCAACACGTACTACAAATGACTAAATAGCCCTGGCTGGTTTGGCTCAGCAGATAGAGCGTCGGCCTGTGTACTGAAGGGTCCCGGGTTCGATTCCCTCAAGGGCACATGCCTGGGTTGTGGGCTTGATCTCCAGCAGGAGGCAGCCAATCCATAATTCTCTCATCAGTGATGTTGCGCGCTCTCTCTCTCTCTCTCTCTCTCTCTCTCTCTCTCTCCTTTCCTCTCTGAAATCAATAAAAATATATTTAAAAATAAAAAATAACTAAACAGAAAAAGAATAAAGTGGGACCATAATGTACCCAAGGTATAAAATTAGAAAATAACATTTTTTTAAAATAGCAAATTAACAAATTGTGGAGAAGCAAAATAAAATTGGGCCAAATCTCCCACAACCCCCTCCAGGGTCAGGCAGCCACCGCGGGGGGGTCCCCTTCAGGCTCACACCCACGCGAACAGGCTGGTCTGGGATGTTCTCGGAGAAACAGCAGGGCTCCAGCGGCCTCTCCGGGCCCCGGGGCAATCCTCAGCTCGCTCTGGGCTGGGGCCGAGGCCCCGGGGCAATCCTCAGCTCGCTCTGGGCTGGGGCCGAGGCCCCGGGGCAATCCTCAGCTCGCTCTGGGCTGGGGCCGAGGCCCCGGGCGGGCGGCTGCGGGGTGGGTGCCGGCCCGGACGCCCTCCAGCCCCTGCCCGCTGCCCCGCTGCCCCGCAGGAGGAGTGGAACTGCACGGGCGCCTCCTTCATGCGGGGCCCCCTGCGCGTCCTGATGGTCGACTGCAGCCCAGGCCCGGAGCGCCCCCAAGAGGTGAGCCTTGGCTGGGCGCCTGGCCTCAGTCTCCTCTTCCGGAGGATCCGTCCCCAGTGTCCTCAGTGCAGGTTCCGCGGGGAATGAGGATGGGGGTCATCGGGAGCAGGGAGGGGAGAGGCCGGGGGCGGGGGGCACTGGCTCTGCTCCCGCCTCGGAGACCGACCCTCCTCTGCACCCACCTCTGGGGGAAACCACCCCGAGGTGCAGCCTCCTGGCCGGTGAGGGGAGGAGCGGGCACACCACCGCCTCATGGCTAACGCGCCGCCTGGGGAGAGGGACCAGGCAGGGCGGGAGGGGGGAGAGGCCGCGGGGGCGGTGAGTGACTGCGGCGCCCTCTGCAGGGCTTGCGGGAGAAGCGGTCGGCTCCGTCCCCAGAAGCAGCCGCTCCAGAGGTCGACAGCTCCAAGCTGCCCCCTGTGGTCAGGGACATATATGAGAAAGCCAAGTTCGACATCATCTCCAACATCCTGAGCAATTTCTAGGGCTGGGGAGGGAGGGGAGGCTGGCACCCCGCCTCGACCTCCCCTCCCACCGCCCTTCCCCCAGCGGCCCTCACCCCCCCCACCGTGACCTCCCCTCCCACCACCCTCTCCCCCCCAACCCCCGCAGCCCTCACACACCCCGCCCCCCCGCCAAGACCTCCCCTCCCACCGCCCTCCCCCCGGCGGCCCTCACCCCCCACACCCCCACCGTGACCTCCCCTCCCACCGCCCTCTCCCCCCCTCCCCCGCAGCCCTCACACACCCCGCCCCCCCGCCGAGACCTCCCCTCCCACCGCCCTCAGCACCCTCCTTGCTGCTTAATCCCCACAGGCCTCTGCTCTCGCACGCCCGCTGCCCTCTGCCACGCCTGCCCGTCTGTGTCTAACTCCCACTCACCCTTCGAGGCCCAGCGCCAACACCACCTCCTCCAGGAAGCCCCGGGCTTGCCCCCAGCAGGTGTCCCTCCCTCCTCAGAGCGGTCAGGGACCTCAGAGCCCGTGGGCGTGGCCTGCTGTGCCCCCGGCTGTATTCGCTGGCCGGGTTTCTCGGCCAGGTGCTCCTGGGAGGACGACTCCTCCTGTGCATGCCTGCCCCCCCCCCCACTGCCCACCCGGTCCCTTCCCACCCGCAGGGGCTGCCCGGGGTCAGCCGTCCTCAGGGGAGAGGCACAATAAAGCATTTCTGCATCAACGACTGAGTGCTCGTGGGAACGGATGAGGCGCTAGCACTGGACGTGAGGCAGGCCCGGGCGGTCCCAGCGTGCGCCAAGGTCCCTGGGTCAGGACAGGGCGATGGCGAGGGTGCAGCGGCGGGCACGTGAGGGCCTCCCCTTCATCAGAGCTCCAGGCCGCACCTCTCGGAGCCCCGCGCCTGCCAGCCGCCCCTGCCTCCTGCGAGGTGCGGAGGGTCCGCGCTCAGAGCCTCCCTCCGCCATCCCGGAGCGGCCTCTGCGCTCTCACCGGTGCCACGGGGCTGGTGGGGGAGAGGACATGGACCTGGGTGTGGAGTCCGGCGTGTGCGCCACGGGGGGAGGGAGGGCGCCGGCTCTGTGCAGGGAGGGGTGTCCCAGGCCTGACTGAGAGGGAGGTGGAGCAGGCACGAGGCGTGTGCAGCTGCAGCCGGGCAGCCTCTGCGATGGGGGTCGCCCACAGGGAGAGCGGGACGGGGGAAGGGCCGACCTCTCCCACCACGGAGCCACGGAGCCCGCGGGCCTGCTGCCTCTGTGCTGCCCGCGGTCCCCGTGACCCACACACAGATCCTCCCCCCGGCGGCAGAGCCAGCCCAGGCCCAGGCAGCAGACGCCGGGCGCGGGGCCGGAGGACAGTGCCCCCAGGCCGCAGACAGGCCCCGTGGGCGGCCTGGCCCCGGGTGGTGACCACGGCCCCAGACGGAGCAGGGCAGGCCGTGCGCAGTGGTCTGACGCAGGTTCTTTCTGCCCCACGAGCCACGCTGCCTTCTCGGGGCTGCCGAGGGCCCCGTGGGAGCCAGTGGCGTGTTTGTGTGAACACGGGCTGGTGGGTGTGTGGGACGGGCACCCTTCCGAACCCGAACACGGACCTGCCGGCCTCGCTGCGCAGGGCGAGCCGGGCCCGACTCGGGAGGCGTGGCGTCTCTTACACCCTCGCCGGCACCCGGCTTCAGGAAGGCGGGTCTGGGACGGGGCTGCGCGTGGGGAAGTGGAAACGGAACTGGGAGTCCCGTCTCCCGCGGACACGGGCCCCGGCCCCAGGGAAGTCTGTGGTCGGAGAACTTCCCGTGCAGTCGGAGAGGAAGGGGGAGAGGATGGTGATGGAAGAGGCCCGGACTTGGGGAGGTGAACGCCATACAACACACCCAGGATGCAGTGTACCTGAAACCCGCAGTTTTATTAGCCAATGTCACCTCAATAAATTAAAAAAATAAACAAAAGAATGTTCCAGTGACTTAATGTACCAAAGCTACTCTGGCCCAGAGTAGGAGCCGGGAGCGGTTTTGCCCGGAGTCGGTGGCCACAGGCCACGGGGACCTCTGAGTCCAACGGCAGCGAGCACAGGGCCAAGGGCAGTGCGATCGGGACAGGACACGCGTGCACATGTCCCACCAGGACCCTCGTGTACATACACGTCTTTCAAAGACCGAGTTTGCTCTCTCTGGCTTTTTCCTTATTTTCACAGGCATATTTTTACTTTGTTCTGTTTCTTCAATGAATCACAATAAAAATGTGATTTACTTCTAATAGTATTTAAAAAATAAATCAGGGAAGGGCAAGACGATAGAAGCATACTCTTTATTTCTCTTTGGTTTCTTATCACAAAGGGCATGCGCTCTATAAATAAAGGGCGTGGTTTCTGGGAAGCAGTAGGGGGCGGAGGAGCACCCCTGCTGCCCTCCTGTGGCCGAGTCCAGGCTGGTCTTCAGCTCCCCAACCCCCCCCGCCCCCCGGCTTTGATCGCAGAACTCAGGCTTTCAAGGGGAAATGCCCGCACAGGTCAGTCCGCGCTCCGGCTGGGCTGGGCCCCAGGCCACTGGCACTGAGCTGTCCCGCCTCCACGGCCTCTGGGGTGACGGTTCTTCTCCCCGGCTGCTGAAAAGGCGCCGGCACCAAAGGACAGACCAGCTGTTTGCAAACACCCCCGGACGGAGGGCTGAGGGGCGTGTAAACCTGGGTGAGTGCATGTGCTGAGCGGTCTAGGCCTGGTCCCTCTGGAAGCGCTCTCAGGCGGCCGTGCAGCGTCGCCCGGGATGTGGGAGGGAAGCGGGAAATGATCCACTCCCAGTGGCAGCCTCTGGGCCAGCATCCTGAAGACCGGCCAGGCCCCCTCGTTGGTTCACCAACCGGTTCTCAGCGCCGTCACCGCCCAGGCTCAGGGCTGTCAGGTCCACAGCGGAAGAGGCTGATGAGAATGGGACGAGCAGTGCACGCCCCTCCACACCAGGAACGCAGACCACCCTGCGGGGAACGAGGGCGGGCCATCAGAGCTGCCCTCTCCTCAGCTCAGCTGTATGGATTGTCGTCGTTAAAAAAATCCTTTTCAAGTGCTTGTCAGAGGCCCGTGCCCAGTGGCAGGTACAAGGGTCTTCTCTTCGGAACCTGGCGGCTGCTCTCCTGGGAACCTCGTGGCCTCGGCCCCCACACTGCTCCCCAACAGGCTCCCGGCGGCACAGCGGAGCCGAGGCCGCCGGGAAGACGGGTAGGAGGCCCGGCCGGCACTGAAGGACGCCTCTGGCCTCCCGGGAGCAGGCATCGCCGGCTGAAGGGCGGCCACCGCCCTGTGCGGACAGGGGTCCACCTGTGAAGGTCCGTCAGGGAGGAGGGGAGGGAGCACGCATGCCCTCCAAAGCCCTTGGCTCGGATGAGGGGCAGGACTAGAAAGCCTGCTCTTTGCAGTGGCAAGTCCTCTGGCCTTGACGCTTCACTTCAGAGCCGGCTCTGCGTGGAGTCGAGGCCCGCCCGCTGGCCAGGCTGCCGAGGGTGCAGGGAGGCCGGGCCTGGGCGGCAGTGGGAGCAGCAGCAGGGGGTGGCAGGGCAGGCAGGGCCGCCGGACTGAGTGCCCACTGGCTCCGGAGCAGTCAGGGAGCCCCACCAGCTTCATCGCAGCCTCTAGTAGCCAGAATGCTTGCTGCCGGTGGAACAGGAAGGAGCGGAAGGCGGGGAGGGGAGTGAGCCAGGGCGGCCGTGCGTGGCCACGGGGCACCGGGAGCTGCCTGCAGGAGCTGCGGGCGCTCGGCCGCCTCCTAGGCCTGCGGCGAGGAGTCCCCGATGATGGGAGTGAAGACACCCGGGAGCACCTAGCAGCAGGGCCGGCCGAGTGCGCGGGTTCGACGCGGGGCTGGAGGGAACCCTGCTGCTGTGCGAGGCTCAGGACCGGATCCGAATGTGGGTGAGGCCTCCACCCTCTACGTGTCGGGTGGTTTTCTGCTTAAACACGATTTCCTTTTAGTGTCTCTTTTTTAATGTTTTCTTCTTGTAAAAAATGTTCACTTAAGAAATAGTTATTTTTCTTTCCAGTTTCTTTCAAGTATCTTTTTTTCCTCCCGTTTCTCCTGAATAAGATGAGAAGACCCACCGGAACCCAACAGCAGACAGGATCGCTGTGCTCTCCGCTCAGCAGGACCAGGCCTCTGCCCGGACGGACAGACGGACGGAGGCGCCTGGAGCGAGCCCCCGCCGGCCGCGTCTCCACGGCGGCGAGAACTCCGGCGTCCTCCTCCCCCGGCCACCCCCGCCTCCATGTGTGGCTGCCCCGCAGGTGGAGGCCTCCTGCCAGGCTGGCTCGGAGCCGAGGCCGGGAGATGGATGGGCCTGTGCGTGTGACCACAGCAGCCGCCGGCACCAGCTGTGAGGCGAGGCACCTGGCCAGGCCGTGCATCCTGGGGCCCTGGACTCACTCGGAGGGCGCGGGCAGCACGCCGAGGGAGGCCCGGCGCCCGGGAACCGCCCCTCGGCTCCCCGGCCCCGCCTGCTGGCCCCGCCTCTCCGGGCGGGGTGCCCCTGGAGGACGTGCAGCTGGCACCTGCTCCCGACCCGCCACGCCCCCCCGCGCTCAGACGGCCGGGAGAGGGACGCAGCCCACCCCCACCCCGCCCTCGTGGCAGGCCATGGGGGCGGTGAGCGTCCAGCCGTCCGCCTCCGGGTCGTACACCTCCATGGAGCTGAGGTTGGACTGCCCGTCGTAGCCGCCCACGGCGTAGAGCCGCCCGCAGCTGGCCACCAGGGACACGCGGCTGCGACGGGAGAGCATGGGTGCCACGAGGCTCCACTGGCCGGCCTCCGCGCTGTACACCTCGGCGCTGCTGAGGAAGCCGGAGCCGTCGTAGCCGCCGCACACGAACAGCCGGCTGCCCAGGGCGGCCGCCCCGTGCCGGCAGCGCTTGTTGAGCATGCCGGCCGCGGGGTGCCAGGTGGCCGTGTGCTGGTTGTAGTGCTCCACCTGTGGGGGGGCCAGGCGGGCGTCAGCACCATGGCCACGGGGTCAGACTCCCGGCCGAGGGGGACGGGGGGCCCAGGGGGACGGAGCCCCAGGGGGATGCGGGGCCCAGGGGGCCCAGGGGGATGGAGCCCCAGGGGGACGGGGGGCCCAGGGGGATGGGGGGCCCAGGGGGACGGGGGGCCCAGGGGGACGGGGGGCCCAGGGGGACGGGGGGCCCAGGGGGATGGAGCCCCAGGGGCACGGGGAGCCCCAGGAGGATGGGGGGCCCAGGGGGATGGAGCCCCAGGGGGACAGGGGGCCCCAGGGGGACGGGAGCTTGCAGGGCGGGCCTGCCTCTGACTCCCGGGCTCCTGGGTTTACAGGGACAGGGCAGAGCCCAGACTGCCCTCTGTCTGTGCTTAAGGCTGCTCATTGGGTCCCCTGAACCCAGCCAGCACTGAGGGGCCTCGGGACCACCCACAGGGAATGGCCGCTGAGGGTTCATCCCCAGGCCCGTGGGCTCCGGCCCAAGGGGCTGCACCCTGCCTCCAGCCCAGGACTGCAGAGCGGCGGGGTGGCCGGAACCTCCAGGGGCGATGCCTCGCCGGCGACGGAAGGCTCCCCGGGAGCCGCCTTCCTCAGCCCCCTCAGGTGGGGGAGCAGGTGCCAGCCCAGGAGGCCCCGACTCACGCTGTTGAAGATCTGCAGACCGTCGTGGCCGCCGGACACGTAGATCCTGCCCTCGAAGACCGTGACCCCCGCAGCACTGCGGCTGGAGCTCATCGGGGTCACCACCGTCCACCTTCGGGAAGAGCCAACGCAGAAGGCGCCCGTGAGATCGGGCCCCTGCCCCCGGGGGCCTTGGGAGGCTCGGGGCTCTGCCTGCGCCTCCGCCCCGGCTCCCACCTCAGCCACCTCCCAGCACCGGGGCCTCCCCGGCCCAGGCCCACAGCCCAGGCTCCCGTCAGCGGGCCAAGGCCCAGCCTCTCCAGGTCCGCTCTTCCCTGCACTCCCAGGTCTTTTGTGGGCCTACCCCCTAGTGGCTGTCCTGGTGAACAGCAGCTTTATGGCCTCTTCTCCCTCATCTTCCCTGACCTTGTGGCAGCCAATCCCTTGCTGGTTGGTTCCTGGGCAGGGCTTGTCCCCATCCCCTGGCTCTGGCCTCCCCTGAACCACTGCAGCAGCCTCCTTACAGGGGCCTGGCGTTCAGGCCTCGCCCACCGGGACCCTGAGCAGCACGCCCCAGGGCTCTGCAGTGCTCCCTCGTGGCAGAGACCACCTCCCTAACGTGGCTCCTCACCACGTGGTCCTGGCCCACTCGCCGGCTCCGAGCCCGGCCACGCAGCAGCCACACCGCGCCCAACCCCACGGGCCGTCTAACCTCCGCGACCCCTCCTGCTGCCCCCCTGCCTCCTGAGCACCCCATCCGCCCCGGCTCGGCCCTGGCGAGGAGGAAGGCCTTCCCCACGCTGCGCCCAGGCTGCAGGGAGGGCCCCGAGCGGATGACGGTGGCACGGCCCAGCCGACGGTGCTACGTCACAGGCTTAGATGCCTCCTTGCTGCCCATACGTAAAAGGTCAGACGAAGCAGGTTCTGGCTAAAAGCACCGACGAATCCAGCCCGCTAACGTGCTGATGTTTGTTACGTAACGTGAGAAAACTCAAAACACCGAAATGAAAAACTCAGGGCTAATAATCCCACAAAACGGGCCCGGTGTCACATAAATGAGAGAAGCAGACTCCGTGCTTCCAGCTCGCCGGGCCCGTCACTTACACCCCGTCCTCCTGCCCCTGCAGGAGCCTGCGCACTGATCTCCCGCGAAGGCAGTCACTGAGGGTACAGCCAGGCCCTGCCGGGCTAACGGGCAGGACAGCTCCCCCGAGGGCCCGGCTGCAGTCAGCGCTAACGCTGACCGGTTCAGCCAGCCCAGGGCTGGGAGGCCCAGTGCTTACTTGTCCGTCTCGGGCGAGTAGGTCTCCACGGAGTTGAGGGAAGAGTTGCCGTCGTAGCCCCCACAGACGTAGATCTGCCCGTCCAGCACGACCGTCCCCATGGCGCTGAAAGACAGCCAGCGGCGGCCTCAGCTCAGGCCGCCTTCCTTCGCCCGAGACCAGACCCACCACCACTGCCGCTGCGAGGGCAGCCTGCACCAGGGCGTGGTAGTCAAGGCGAGAGCCGAGGGCCGCTGCCGCCCTGGGCTCCCGTCTCTCACCCCGACTCCGACTCCACAGGCCTGAGCCGTCTCCCATGCCCGCCCCCGTCCCCGCCCCCGGCTGTGCTCATGGTCTGATGGACTGCACGGTCCTGGTCAGAGTCCTTGCCCTCCTCCTCAAAGGCCACTTGATCCCTCAGCAAGATGACTGCAGCCCCACAGTTCCCCGTGAACCTGAGTGTTGTGTGAGGTGCGTGTACACACAGGCCCTGGGCACGTTCGGTGTCTTCCCATGATCCTCCCACTCAACTCACTACCAAGCTCGGCCAGTGTTTTCGTTGCACACTCGGCCTGCACGGCGGATGCCGCGGGGAGAGGGGACAGCTCCTGCGGCTGCGCGAGGGCAGTGTCAGGTACCCCGGCCCGCACGGCCCCCGACCACCCGAAGCAGCACCATCGTCACACACCAACGGCGGCTCCCCCCGCTGCCCAGAGGTGAGCTCAGATGTGAGAGAGACACGCAGCTCCCCCAGCACCAAGGACCCGGGCCCCGCACAACCACGCCCGGAGCTAGCTGCCGGCGCCGTGTTCACCAAGTGGAGGAGAACTGGAGGAGGTTCTTGGTAAATCCTGGCGTCTGCCAACAGGAACCTAAGTCCACGGGCTCAACTGCACGGCAGCGAGAGCGCCCGCGAGGCCGCAGCCAGGCACAGACCTGAGCGCCTGAACGCGGAGAGGACTGGCCTTGGGGGGGGTGCGGGGATGCGGGGTGTGGGGGCGGGGGTGCAGGGATGCGGAGGACGGAGGGGCGGGGGTGTGGGGGGCGGGGATGCGGGGCGGGGTGTGGGGGGCGGGGGCGTCACACTCCCAGGACGGCCGCTGTCCTTTCAGGGGGACACTAGCAACAACATGGACGTTCAACAAGAACACGGGAAGAGCGAGGTGCCGCGCCTGAGATGAGCTACCCCCTCGGTGGCAAAGACGAGGCGGAGGGAAGGGGAAATGCTGGTCGGTGTGGCCTGGAGTCCGTGAGAGAAGGCTCCGGAAGCAGCCTGCACAGCTGGAGGAAGGGATGGCGGCAGGACAGGCCGAGGGGGAGGTCAGCGGGGAAGTAATGAGGAGGGTAAGGCAGCTGTGACTGAAGGGGACCCACTCCAAGAGCAGGGCACCCACAGCCGGGGACGAGCCCCCAGGCCCCACCCTCCTGACCCGAGGCCTGAGGGCTGGGAAGCAGCCGGCGCCAGCAGACAGGAGCAGCGAGCCGGCAGAGCAGAAAGGCAGCCGCGGCTGGGACATGGAACAGTCACTCGAGGCCACAGAGCTGCCAAGACCCATCCCTTCCCTCCTCCAGCGTGCAGGCTGCTGCCAGGAGCCGGAGGGGCGACACAGCTCCCCCCCAGCACGCCTGTGGGGCCCTGTGTGAGCTGGTTTTGCTGGGCAGTAAGGCAGCTCCTTTGGCTTGAGGCCACGCACTGACACGGATGGAGGTGGGACATGTGCACCACGGCGTGACACATGCATGTGGCAAAGGACTTGCATGCTGACCCTTCTTCCCACCACACATGCAGCCACATGACCTTGGTGTGGTCGCATGATCTCACAAGAAGAAAGCCCCAGGCACAGCGGACCAAGCGGCCTGGGGGCAAACACTCAGGCCCTTAGAGAGGCCCTAGCCCAGGGGAAAAGCACTCGTGTAGCTTCCCCCGGGCGGGCAGGCCCAGAGGCGCGGAAAGGTGACACGTGTGCTGTGGCTGGGACTGCTTTCTCCGCCTTCGGGTCCCTTTGGAACCCCGGAGCCCAGGTGGCCTCTCCGGGGGCAGCAGAGGGAAGAACTGCCAGCTCCACACACAGGCACACGCACACACACCACACACAAACACACACACACCACACCCCCACACCCCCCACACACACCCCCACACACACACACCCCCACACACACCACACACACACACACACCACACACACACACACCACACACACACACACACACACACACCACACACACACACACACACACACACCACACCCCCACACCACACACACACCACACCCCCACATCCCACACACACACCCCCACACACACACACCCCCACACACACCACACACAAACACACACACCCCCACACCACACCCCCACACCACACCCCCACACACACACACGGACATGGACACGGACACGGACACGCACTCTGCACGTGACACGCGCGCAGACGGGAGGAGGGCGCCGTCACCTCGGCACTGGCCGGTGGACGGGCACCTCCGGCTGCCTGTCCAGGAAGGTGAGTGAGCAGGCGGGCGTGGCGGAGGGAGGTGGGAGGCGAGGGCTTGGTCTACCTCCCGGCCCTCGGGGCGCAGGCCTGGGCCCTGAGGTGGAGAGCATGGCTGCTCACATGCTCCCCGGGCAGTGAACAGGCCTGGCGGGGGCCCTGGGGAGAGAGAGGGAAAGGAAACTCCTCGCATTTCCTCTCGCCACTCCTTGTCCTGCGAGCCCCCGTGAGCCCCGCCCTGACCTCTCCCAGCCGCGGCCAGCTGTCCTCGCCGCCCGTCCTCAGGCTCATGGGCGCGTGGTAACAGCTCCGCCTGCCCGCCCCCTCCGCCCCAGGTGCTCGGAGACGCGGCAGGCGTTCCCGTGGCAGACGGAGCCCTGCTCTGCCCGCTCGGCGCCGAGGCCGGCGCCAGTACCTTCTCTTGCTGTTCATGCTCCCCGCCCGGGCCCACGTGTCCGTCTCCGGGTTGTAGACCTCCACGGTGCTCAGCCGCAGCTGCCCGTCGTAGCCCCCGATGGCGTAGAGCAGCCCGTTCACCACGGCCACGCCGACGCGGCTGCGGGCGGTCGTCATGGGATGGCACTTCTCCCAGCGGTTGGCGAGGGGGTCGAACACTTCCACCACGTTCAGGGAGTCACCTGCGTAAAAATTTGCTACTCACATTAAACCAACGACCCCCCTGGTGTGACCACAGCTGGGGCACTGGTTACAGGGATGTATGACTTGGCTCTGTCGGCTCTTCATGCCGAAGGGCCCTCTAGGCAGTTCCAGTCTAACCTCAGACCTCCGTCCTGAAGGAAAAGGAGAATCAGGTGGAGGGTTATTTCCGAGAGAGGCCACCTCACGCTGCCATGGGCTCCACTGCTTACAGCAACGTGCAGGCCGGTGGAGGCAGATCCCCACGGAGGCAGCCGGAGGGTTCCAGCGCCCGCTTTCACCCGCTGGCCTGGACCCGGGGAGTAGCTGGGGTCCTGTCCTCTGCCCTCCCCGGGAGCACTCCGAGGGCAGCGCTGCGGATCAGGGGGACCCGTCAGTGACCTGGCAGAGCTCCAGCGTGCCAAGTGCTCGGCAGCAGGGGTGGCACTCAGCCTCCCTTTTCTTCAGGCCTCTGTGAGGGTCAAGTAAAACACCTGCCCGCCTCACCTGCTCTGGGCACTTAGCACCTGCCACCCGACAGGCTACTAGCTGCGAACTTAGAGGTCAGACTAGTGCCCACCCCTCGTTAACTTTCAATTAAAAACAAAGCTGCCCGGACTGCCCCCCACCCACCTCCCACAGACCTGCTGGCACTGCGGCCAGGCCTGGCCCGCGCACCCGAGATGACCATTTCCTGTCACTGCACTGCCCGGACCCCGGTGTCCTGCCTCCCGCCTGAGTCCCTCCTGCCCGCGATGGAGTCCCCAAACCCTGACTGTCTGACACGAGAGCTGCCCTTGGCACCCGGACTGCAAAGCGGGTGCTCACAGGACCGAGCGTAGAGAGTGACCAGGTTGCTGATCGCCGCAGACGCCGTGTGTCTGTCCTGCTGATGGTGACCTTCTCACAGCCGAACCCCAGGGATTAGTCAGCCTGGGGTCAGAGCGGGGTCTCTGACTATGTCCTATCGAGGCTGAGCCCTCCATGGCCAGCGGGTAGCAGAGCGAGTGCTGCTCAGGATCAGGACCCACGTCCCAGTCCCTGCTCGGCCAAAACCAACCCTGAGCCGGTGGAAGTTCACGGGCCTCAGTTCCCGCTGGGAAGGAGAGGGGCCAGGCCTCAGGGCTAACCTCTCCAGCCCCAATATTCTGACCAATGGTCCCAACACCTGACATGCTTCACTGCAGAGCAATTCATTAAGATCGAGGTGGGCCAGAGGGGCCGCCCGCAGGAGGGGCCAGGGCAGGGGGGCCGCTGGGTGCCCTCACCCTCGGAGAGCGAGGCAGGGCTCCGCGGGGGGGAGCTGCAAGGTACCTGCTGAGTTGAGGCCTCCCACGGCGTAGATGAGCCCGGCGATGGACGTGCAGCAGCGAGGCCGCGTCCGGAAAGCCGGCAGGTGGGGCCGGCGCTCTGGCATGAGGTGGTAGTCCTTCGCTTCGTCCACCAGGTCCCTGGAACGATGCGAGAGGCTAGGCCAGCAGGCATCCCCCCGTGGGGCCCACACTCCCGCTTCCAGGCCTGCCCCTCCCCGTGGGGCCCACACTCCCGCTTCCAGGCCTGCCCCTCCCCGTGGGGCCCACACTCCCGCTTCCAGGCCTGCCCCTCCCCCCGTGGGGCCCACACTCCCGCTTCCAGGCCTGCCCCTCCCCCCGTGGGGCCCACACTCCCGCTTCCAGGCCTGCCCCTCCCCCCGTGGGGCCCACACTCCCGCTTCCGGGCCTGCCCCGCCCCCGCCCCCCACAGGGCCCCCCAAAGGGGTCCCAGCAGCCCCACCCGCTCACCGGCACTTGTGGCAGCATCGCACCAGGTCCTCCTGCTGCACGCGGTCCGACAGGAACTGGGGCCGGCAGAGGGGCAGCCGGATGTTGGACAGCAGCTCGGGCAGGCAGGGCCCCCGCTGCTCCCGGTCGTACCTGACCCAGGCCAGCGCGGCTTCGAAGACCTGCCCAGACAGAGTGGACGCTCTGGGGCGACTCTTCCCAGTCAGGGGCCACATCCCGGTGCCCGACCCTCCCTCTGCCGAGGCAGTCCCCGGCCGCTCCGGCGTCCCGCTCCCCGTGGGGTTCCGACACGGAGTGCGAGCTGGGTGACCTCGCAGTCCCCGGCTCTCACCGTGACTTCCAGATGGAAGCCGTTCACCCTCCTTCCTGCGCTCCCCCCCCCCCCCGGCCGGCCCCGCCCACAGACCTGCTCCTCGGACGTGACGTTCAGCTCGTCCCGCGACACCAGCTCCAGCACGTCCTCCAGGGGCAGGCCCAGGAACTCCTCGGACACGGACACCTCCGCGAAGTGCTGGTGCACGAAGCTGTTGGCCGCCTCGTACAGCACAGCGCACATCATCGTCTCCGCAAACTGGCGCACCCCCAGGCAATTCTTGGGGTGAAGCCTTTTGCATAAGAAAGAACGGCAAAGCAGTGAGCCGTCAGCTGTCAGCTGCCTCTCGGACTCGCTGGTGAAGACGGAAACGGGAGGCGGCGGCCCCTCAGGTTCTGCTCGGGCCTGGTGCTCCGTGCGTTGGGTGGGGAGCAGCTCTCGGAGGAGGAGAGAAAACCGGGGCTGGAAACTCTGCTTTCCCCCGGCTGCCGGCCCCCTGGCTGAGCGGGCACCTCGGGCCACTGAAGGCAGAGGCATAGGTGAGAGCTTAAAGCCCAAGGAGAAGTGACCTCCAACCTCAGGACCTGCATGTCTCTGTTTACCGAGAAGGAGGCCGGTGGGTCCAATGGTTAGACTCCAGAACAGGCCCAGCAGCCATCACCACGGAGCCGTGTTCGCCAGGCCTGTGCTCGGTGCAGAGCAGCCGTGGCCGTCCTTCTCAGAGGGAAGCGAGGCTCAGAGAAGCGCTAAAGGACATATCCTGGGGCATGACAAGCGGCTCTGGTCTAAAAACCCTTTTCTCAGCATGTTTTAGGGACACGACCCTGTAACAGGGCCTGGATCCCGTGACAGCGCTGCCCGCCACAGCCCCTAGGTGGAGCTGTTGTCCCGGTGAGGCGGGCCACTTCATCCTGAGAGTGCCTACTCAGCATTCTCCCCTTTCCTGGGAACAAACGAAATCCAGTCTGCTCCCTAAGCGCTCCCAGTGTCTGCCCCACGCCTGCTGTGCAGCCCTCTGCCTGCCCAGAAGGCACCCAGGCCAGGCTCAAGCCAAGCTCCGGACTGCGAGGCTCCACCCGCCAAACTGGAGCAGACCACCTCCCTCACCACGAAGCCACCCACCCCGCACCCAGGAGGGCACCATGCCAGGCCTCGCTGCCCGGTCACTCAGACCACGCACGCAGCCATGATCGGGCGTCCAGGGCACCCCCGGGCAGGTGGCTAGCCAGGGAGCCAGAGCTGAGGGCACTGGGTTAATGTGTGCGAGATGCTAGGAGGAGGGACAAGGAGGGGTCGGCTCTAGAGAGCACATCTGAGACCGAGGAACCTGGTGGTCAGTTGTCAGGAGCAGACCAGGCCCTGAGAGCGCCGGGTCTGGGCTCTGTGTGCCGCCCGCACTGACCCCATGTCGGAGCCGCCATGGTTAACGGGCGGCTTTTACCTTATGACTAAGAGCTCTGCGCTTCTGGGGGGCGGGAGCAGGAGGGTGGGGGCTTTTTATCTGCTCAGCCATCAAAAGGTCATTGTCCAGTGCTGGGCACAGGGAGGACAGAGCGAGCCCACAGTCCTCCCTAAAGGAGCATACAGGGACAGGAAAACCCAGGAGGTGGCATCTGGGTGGGCTCCTAAAGCTGAAGGGGAACAAGATGGCGACGGTCAGGAGGGGAAGGAGCTAAACGAAGGAGATGTCTGTGGAGTAGCCAGGGAGCACCGGCTAAGCCAGCTGGGTGAGAGTGGTCAGTTAGCAGCTGGTCAGCTTGGGGAGGGAGGACCAGGCAGGCCAGGGAGAGCACAGGCAGGGCTCCGTAAACTGTGTTCCTCAGGGCTCAACCCACAGGGCCGGGCACCGCCTGACACCACCTTCAAGAAAGGTCGCTTTGCCGAAACCAGTGTGGCTCAGTGGGTAGAGGCTGAGGACTGAGGGGTCCCAGGTTCGAAAATCAATAAAATATTTAAAAAAAGGCTGAAACCGGTTTGGCTCATTGGATAGAGCATTGGCCTGCGGACTGAAGGGTCCCAGGTTCGATTCCAGTCGAGGGCATGTGCCTTGGTTGCGGGCACATCCCCACTGGGGGGTGTGGAGGCAGCTGATCGATGTTTCTCTCTCATCGATGTTTCTAACTCTCTGTCCCTCTATCTTCCTCTCTGTAAAAAATCAATAAAATAAAATAAAATAAAATAAAATAAGATGGAGAAGAAAGAAAGAAAGAAAGGAAGAAAGGGTGCGGAGTACCCTCCTGGCTCACTCTAACACTCTGGGCCCCGAAGACTCGCGAACTGGCCGGGCTCGCGAAACGGAGAGGTGCGTGCCCGCCCGCCCCGCCCGCCCCGCCTCACCGCTCCTGGAGGAAGGCGCAGCAGGCGTCTTTGATGCTCTGCAGCTGCAGGAAGCTCGCCCCCATCAGCAACGACTGGACGTTCTGCTGGTCGATAGCGAGGTGGCCGTTGTAGGCAAAGTTGATGAGAGCCTCCAGGGCGCTGGAGGGAAGAGGACGACGCTCCTTAGAGACGGGTCTTCGCCCAGAGACACAGCCCTGAGTGGGTGGGCAGTTCTGCCTGGGGACAGATGGGCCCACCCTGACAGCCATGACACCCACCCTGACAGCCACGACACCCATGACACCCACCCTGACAGCCATGACAGCCACGACACCCATGACACCCACCCTGACAGCCATGACAGCCACGACACCCATGACATACACCCTGACAGCCATGGCAGCCACGACACCCACCCCGACAGCCATGACACCCATGACACCCACCCCGACAGCCATGACACCCATGACACCCACCTTGACAGCCATGACACCCATGACATACACCCTGACAGCCATGGCAGCCACAACACCCACCCCGACAGCCATGACACCCATCCAGACAGCCATGACAGCCATGACACCCACCCCGACAGCCATGACACCCACCCCGACAGCCATGACACCCACCCCGACAGCCATGACACCCATGACACCCACCCAGACAGCCATGACACCCACCCCGACAGCCATGCCCTTGGAGAGCTCCTGAAGGGATTGTGCTTCCCCAGGGCTGACGCGTCCTGCTTCTTGTCTGTGTTGCCCAAATAGTTTTGTGACAGAAACGTTTAAAAAGAGAAAGCAAGGACCACATGTCCCTCCTGAGCAGGTGCCGGGTGCCAGCTTCCTGGGCCCTTTCACCCTCTTTGCCTGAGTGGCACAAACCTCCCTGAGACTCGTGAGGCCCTTTCCGTGTTGCTACACGCCCATGTCTCATCCTTAGCGGCTGCTAGAGAGTGTTCCAGAAGGTCTCGGTGTAACAGCATCCACCATCTTACTGCCGTTATAAATAATGGTGCTGGGTTATTACTTCTTCGGGATAAATTCCCAGGAGAATCCCAGCTTTTTCTTCTCTCTCGCGATGCACCGAGAGGAAAGCCCAAATCCCACCTCCAGGACTGCGGGCAGCCTCGTCACCGTCCACTCTGTGCCCTCTCACCTCAGGGCTCTGCAGGGGCTGCCCCCTCTCCTGGAGGGCTCGTCCCCAGGCGGCTCCCTCCCTCACCTCAATGAAGGTCTGGGCTCAAATGCCACCTCGTCACAGAGGCCGTCCGATTCCCTGGCACACACAGGCCCCGCCTCCTTCGCTCGCCTTGGCCTTCCTGACATCACGTTCTTCCCGGCCAGCCCCGTGCACCTGCCTATCACCAGATCCCACCACCGGAGTCGGTGCAGGAGAGGCGCCTCCGTGTCACCCCAGGCCAGCCTCCGCACACACACAGGTGCCTGGCAGCAGCGAAAGAAAGCGCCTGACTGCGTGGCGATCAGCACGGCTCCTCCCAGCGCAGACCTCTGAGGAGGGAGCGCAACTGCCCTCAGACCCCGCTGTGTGCGTCCTGTAAGTCCCCGGCCCGCCATGTGTGGTCAAAAACCCGCTCCGGCACCGGGGCGGGACCTCAATCGGCAGAGGGCGCCCAGGTGCCCAGCCCTCTCCCTGCACTCCCACCTCGTGAGGTTAGGCAGCAAAGGGCAGGCCGCCGGCCAGCGCTGGAGTCACTGCTCCAGCCGGAGGCCAGGCTCTCACTTGCAAAGCGTGCCCGCTCACACAGCGCCACAGAGCAGTGCAGAGTGACAACCCCACCTCTGCACCCGCCCCAGGCAAAGAATACACCTGAGACTCTACTGCCTGTTAAATGTGCACGCAAACACAGCAAAACACAGCAGAGGCTCCACTGCCACCCCGTCTCAGGCCAGGGGTGGAGGGCCGAACTTGTTTACTGATCGCCAGGCACAGAGCGGAGCGTGCACGGGGGTGTGCGTGTGTGTGTGTGCGTGTGTGTGTGTGTGTGTGTGTGTGAATGTGTGTGTGTGCACCCGTGCGTGCACAGGCTGAGGTGCACAGAGCGGAGCGTGCACGGGTGTGTGTGTGCGTGTGTGTGTGCGTGTGTGTGTGTGAATGTGTGTGTGTGCACCCGCGCGTGCACAGGCTGAGGTGCACAGAGCGGAGTGTGCATGGGTATGTGTGTGTGTGTGTGTGTGTGTGTCTGTGTGTGTGAATGTGTGTGCGTGCACAGGCCAAGGTGCACAGAGCGGAGCGTGCACGGGGGTGTGCGTGTGTGTGTGTGTGTGTGCGTGTGAATGTGTGTGTGTGCACCCGCGCATGCACAGGCTGAGGTGCACAGAGCAGAGCGTGCACGGGGGTGTGTGTGCGTGCGTGTGTGTGTGTGAGAATGTGTGTGTGTGCACCCGCGTGTGCACAGGCTGAGGTGCACAGAGCGGAGCGTGCATGGGTATGTGTGTGTGTGTGTGTGTGTGTGTGTGTGTGTGAATGTGTGTGCGTGCACAGGCCAAGGTGCACAGAGCGGAGCGTGCACGGGGGTGTGCGTGTGTGTGTGTGTGCGTGTGTGTGCGTGTGAATGTGTGTGTGTGCACCCGCGCATGCACAGGCTGAGGTGCACAGAGCGGAGCGTGCACGTGTGTGTGTGTGTGCACAGAGCGGAGCGTGCACGGGTGTGTGCGTGTGTGTGTGCACAGAGCGGAGCGTGCACGGGTGTGTGTGTGTGCACAGAGCGGAGCGTGCACGGGTGTGTGTGTGTGTTGTGTGTTGCACAGAGCGGAGCGTGCACGGGTGTGTGTGTGTGTGCACAGAGCGGAGCGTGCACGGGTTGTGTGTGTGTGTGCACAGAGCAGAGCGTGCACGGGTTGTGGTGTGGTGTGTGGCACAGAGCAGGAGCGTGCACGGGTGTGTGTGTGGTGTGCACAGAGCGGAGCGTGCACGGGTGTGTGTATGTGTGTGCACAGAGCGGAGCGTGCACGGGTGTGTGTGTGTGTGTGCACAGAGCAGAGCGTGCACGGGTGTGTGCGTGTGTGTGCGCACAGAGCAGAGCGTGCACGGGTGTGTGTGTGTGTGCACAGAGCAGAGCATGCACGGGTGTGTGTGTGTGTGCACAGAGCAGAGCGTGCACGGGTGTGTGTGTGTGTGTGTGCACAGAGCGGAGCGTGCACGGGTGTGTGTGTGTGTGCACAGAGCGGAGCGTGCACGGGTGTGTGTGTGTGTGTGTGTGCGCACAGAGCAGAGCGTGCACGGGTGTGTGTGTGTGTGTGCACAGAGCGGAGCGTGCACGGGTGTGTGTGTGCGTGCACAGAGCGGAGCGTGCACGGGTGTGTGTGCGTGTGTGCACAGAGCGGAGCGTGCACGGGTGTGTGTGTGTGTGTGTGTGTGTGCACAGAGCGGAGCGTGCACGGGTGTGTGTGTGTGTGTGCACAGAGCACAGCGTGCACGGGTGTGTGTGTGTGTGTGTGTGCACGGGCTGAGGTGCACAGAGCGGAGCTGTAGACACCGTGTCCTGCTCGGCCCCTGGGGCACTGGCACCAGGGAAGCAGCCGGGAGAGCTGGAGGAGCAGCGGTACCTGGGGTCCATTCCCTGCATCACAATCTCGTCCTGCTTGCACTCCATCATGTCATTGGTGAACATCGCGTGGAAGTACGGGATGGAGGCCGCTAAGACGATCCGGTGAGCGCTGAACTTGTGGTCCCCAATCTGCGGGCGAAGTAAAACAGAGAGATAGGGAGGACGGCAAATACAGAGACCCACACGCCCTTCTGCGCGGACCCCGCCCCTGGAGACCCCGAGTGTCCGCACGCCGAGTCCGCCATGGACACGTCCTCAGCACGGTCACCGGCTCCCCACACGCCAGCCAGCCCGAGTGCTCCACACGGGGGGTTCCCCACGGCCCGACTCCCCGGCCTGTTCCCTGACACTTCCTCCCGAGGCCCGTCTGCGGGAGGCAGAGGGCGGACACAGCCACACGCGCAGAAGCCCTAACATCAGGCTCCCCAGAGCAAGGATTTCGAGACAGGAAGAGATGAGGCGGGGAGACCCAACGGGAACGGGGGCACAGGTGGGGATCAGAGGCAGAGGCGGCGCAGAGGGTTCAAAGGTTGGGGCGTCCTTGGGTGCGAACCAGCCCGAGGCAGACCCCACGGAGCCCAGGCGCCTCTTAGGTCAATGAGCCGTGCGGCCCGGTGCTCAGCCACGGGGGCTCTGCTGTGCCGGAGCCGGAGCCGAGGGAGCCGGAGCCGAGGGAGTCCTTACCTGCCCCCAGCAACCTGCCCAAGGACTCCCTTCCGCGCCCACGAAACACTGGCTGCTCTCCTGCCACCAGCCCTCACAGGAACCGACTCATCGACCTCACCCCTCCTGTCACCGTCCCGGGTTCCTGCTGGGGCCCGTCTGTCCCCCTCGTTCACCCCGTCCACCCCTCGCCAGGCCGCTCCGCTCCGGTGGGGGCTCTGAGCCGGTGTCCTGCAAACCATGACCCACACACTGGCTCTCCCATCCTCAACCGCTAAATCTGAGAGGTCCTTCTTGTTTCCTGAAGCTTCCTTTTTCTTTTTAAAAGCTATACTGTCCATATTTCACAACTAATATTTCCCCTCATCTCTCACACAGTAAACGGCCTCTCTTCCTCCCCTCACTGCTCCTCAGCGTTCTCGGGCCCCATCCGTGAGGCCTGTGGGTTATGCTGGAGGCTAGCTCTAAACGTCTGTGATGTTTGGTCAACTGCTCGCAGCTCTGGAAGCTGTTGGACAGCTGTGGTGGCAGGGCTAGGCTTGTCAGCCTGTGGACGTCACTGCGAAGCCCATCATCGGTTTACTAATGCAGAGGTGTGGACGGGGAGTCTGGAGGGCTGGTCAACCTGAATTGCTGTGAAGGGTCAGAGCTAATCACTAGACATTGGTAGTGGAAGCAGCCTCCACCTGTTAGTTTTAAGTAAATTCGCCGATTGGCTATTATTGGAGTCTCCTGGCTGGGGGATAAGGGTGTATCCCATAATCTCCATCTTAATGAAAGGGGTGAGGAGTAATCCTCTGGGGCTTCCGCCTGGCCCTCATTCCCAAATTTCCCAAATTAATGCTTTTCATTTGTGTGCGGCCTTCTCCAGAACCCGAACCCTGAACCGGAACCCTGAACCACGCGGGACGTGAGAGGGGTTTCCACAGGTCAGCTGGGTGGCCGGTGAAGGGCATTTTTCTGGGCCCTGGTAGCAGCTGCGTTCTTAGCGCCTCCGGGGCTGGCTTCGAGGGGACGGGCCTGTGGGGGAGTGACTGCGAGAGGCCCCGGTGAGGGCGGCCCGGCGGTCACTATGCTCACGAGCTGGACTGTCTTTGAGGCCCGTGTTCCAGGTTTGCTCCAGGCCACCCGTCCTCCCAGCTCCGCCTGCCTCTGATTCACCGTCTAGACCAGAGTCCCGCCTGTGGGCCTCTAATTGCTTCTCACAGCTTCCCGCCAGCCTTCTTTCCGTCTCAGCACTGGTTCTTCCTGGTTTCTCGGCTCCGGAGCAGGTCCAGCTCCCCTTACAGCCCTCCCTCTTCCCGTTCCTCCGGCCCACCGGCTCATCGCACTTTGGGCTCCTCCGGCCCACCGGCTCATCGCACTTTCGGCTCCTCCGGCCCACCGGCTCATCGCACTTTCGGCTCCTCCGGCCCACCGGCTCATCGCACTTTGGGCTCCTCCGGCCCACCGGCTCATCGCACTTTGGGCTCCTCCGGCCCACCGGCTCATCGCACTTTCGGCTCCTCCGGCCCACCGGCTCATCGCACTTTCGGCTCCTCTGGCCCACCGGCCTTATGGCACAGGCTTTTTGCCTTTAACATGCCAACAACCGCTCATTTGCTGATAACCTTTTCTCCCTTATGTCATTTTAACGATATCACAGGGGGCGGATGTTAAAATGTGGGTTCAACTTGCCGTGCTCGACGTTACGTATTTACTTCTCTCCTAGAAAGTGGAAAGACACGCAGAGCAAGCCGCCTGTGTGGGGACTGGGTGACCGGTTCCCCGGAGAGCTCGCAGAAAAGAGCCCGGGAGAGGCTGGTCAATGAGCTGAATTTCCTGTCCATTAAAGCCTGTCTGTCGGAAGAGGGAGGCCCAGATGGGAAAGGAAGACGATGCATCTTCTGAGGAGAGCTAAAGGAGAGTGAGTCGGAAAAGACGATTTGGGAGCGGCAGGGGAGCACGACCACCTGCTGAGCAGCCACATCCAGTTCAAGCTGCTCTTAGGCGCGGGGTGAGGGCAGGGAACGTTGGTGCTGGTGGACCTTATGCTGCGGCCCCTGGGGCGGTCGCAGAGGGAGAGACTGGCACGTATTTTGACCTTTAATACTATGCTGTACGTTATAATATTGTGACAGGCTTTCTAGGATCTGAGAAGCTGTTGTCACTAAAACAGCTGACTCAGATCCTAGAAAGCCTGTCACATGAAGGAGGGCAGGCCTAAGGAAGCGGATTTTAGTTAAAGAGTTTGAGGGAATCCTTCACTGGTTCTAAAATGATTGAGAGACCTTCCAATACTACAGTCCTGAGCTCCTAAACTTTGTGAAAAGCTATAAAAACACCAAATACCCTCATTTATAATCTGTTTTTTAAATGTCGCTTAAGAAAAAGGACGGTCATTTATTGAGTTCCCACTGTATTTTCTCATTTTAGTCCTCTGCCATGAATTCCAGTAAGCCAAGACTTAGAAGTTAGGTAACTTGCCCAAATGTTCAATAGCTGTTATGTGAAAAAATAAACATAAACATGTTCCCGGTGAGGTTTAAAAAGTCCCGCAAGCGCCGTCGAGGACTAAGACAGAAACACCGAGATCCGCACGCTCAGGCTGAGGAACGGGCCTGGACCCGAGATACACCTTCAGGGCCAGCTCTGTCAGGACAGAAGCCAGTCGCTCAATTCCACCACGCCTCAGCTCCCCAGGTTGGAAACAGGATTTCACTCACGGGGGCGGGGCAAGGAATATAGGAATCTATTAATTCACTAACTGACTGATTCTCAAGAGAAGCATTATAAATCCTGGAAAACGTTATTGCAATAAACCACCCTATTAGACAATATTAGAACGTACAGCATAGTATTAAACGTCAAAATACATGCCAATCTCTCCCTCTGCGACCGCCCCAGAGGGACACAGCTAAGGTCATGGCTCATGCAATGAACCAGCTCCCAAGCCAGTTCCCTGCTGCAACGGACGGCAACTCTCTACCTCACCCCACGCCCCAGGGTTCCCATCCGCCTAGGAGGGGCTTGAACTGGATGTGGCTGCTCAGCAGGTGGTTGTTGTGCTAACGAGAGCTTACACAAATTCAGTGCAGCTTCCCCCTTTTTTATATATGTAGTTTTCTTCTTAAAAAACATTTTTACTGCCAAGACGGGTTTGGCTCAGTGGATAGAGCGTCGGCCTGGGGACTGATAGGTCCTGGGTTCGACTCCGGATATTTTATTGATTTTGTACAGAGAGGAAGGGAGAGAGATAGAGAGTAAGAAACATCGATGAGAGAGAGTCATCGATCAGCTGCCTCTTGCACACCCCCCACCGGGGATATGCCCGCAACCAAGGTACATGCCCCTGACCGGAGTCGAACCCGGGTCCCTTCAGTCCCCAGGCCGACGCTCTATCCATTGAGCCAAACCGGTTTCGGCAATAAAATATATTTAAAAAAACAAAAAAACATTTTTACTGATTTCAGAGAGGAAGGGAGAGGGAGAGACATCGGTGATGGGAGACAATCAATGACTGGCTGCTCCTGCACGCCCCTCACTGGGGATGGAACCCATAACCCAGACATGTGCTCTGAATGGGAATTGAACCGTGACCTCCAGGTTCATAAGTTGATGCTTAACCACTGAGCACACCGGCCCGGTGAGCTTTTCCTTTTGGTTTGATGACATCTACATACATGTGAAAAGCAACTAAACACAAAGTAAAAGACCTGCACTGCACACGTGGATTTGGGGGTGCCGGCAATAACTATGTAGGACCCCTGTGGCACCCAAAAGAAGAAGCTGGTAGGGCCTAAGGCTGAAACTGAGCAGAAGCTCCCAGAAGTCCTGAGCACCTTACTGTCCTAACTTGTGACATGTTCCCTCCCTCTCCCTCTCCCACTCCCCTCTCGAGTCTCTCCCCCTTTCCCCCTCCTTTCCCCTTCTCTCTCCCTCTCCCTATTTCCCTCCCCCTCTCTCTCTTTCACTCTCTCCCCCTCCCTCCCTCTCTTACACACACACCCCTTCCCATTCTTCCTGGGAGAGACGGAAACGTTCTGTTCCTAGCCCTGCACTGGTGGTATCTTTGGATCAACAGGGACGGTGTAGCATGACACCAGTCTGTTCCGTCACAGGCCAAGTGGGCTCAAGATTCACCGTGCGGCTGCTGGGAGCAGGAGGAGCCGCGGGGCCAAATCTGAGCGAGTCACCTGAGCCAGGAGTTCCCAAGGAAAGCCAAGGTGCCAACAGATTTCTTCCTGATGAGCATTAGGTGCCGCTGCCCTGCCTCCAGGCTCACAAACAGGAAGTGAGCAGCCCCGGCCGGGCAGGCAGAGCACCTTGGGGGCGTGGTGGGCAGCCAGAGAGGATCACCCGTCGTTTCCGGGCACAGATTTGAACCCTGCCGGTGTGAGCTGGTGTGTAGGGAGTCTCTGACGGAGACGCAGCAGGGATGAATTAATCTCTCACAGCCTTCTGGTCAGACATCAGTAACTGTGAGT